TGATTCAAGTGTTTTAAAAGTTCATATATTTGCAAATCATAAATTATCATAAGCATTAAATTTATTCTAAATCCTAAGTTTAATACTTCAATTAAAAACAAATTTAATTTGCTTATATAAAATCTCTTCTATGATTAATTTTATAAATAATATTCTTCTTAAAAGAAAAAAATTCTTGTTTTGAATATATAATAAGTTTTTCTCTCTAAAATTTATGTGTAATAAGTACATTTTGAGATTATCTTTAACAAGAAAATATTTCTTGTTAAAGATAACTATGAGAAGTCGGAGGAATACGATCTCTAAATCTTAAAATAGAACAAAAATAATTACAAAAAACTACATATTTACGGACTGTGTTTATTGAATAGTTAGAAGAAATGAATTTTGGAAAAGAAGAAAAAATTAAAAATTTATAGAAAGATTTTCTGAGAATTCAGAAACAACTAGTGTTATATAATTTTAAGTTTTTCCAATTTGAAGAATGAGTTTACAATTTAAAAAAAAAGTAAGGTAAATTTATAAATACGTATTATTTTGTGATTTATCTGCTAATAATTAATATAAAATAATATTCGATTGCCTCTCCCGGATTCAAAAGTCTTAATTGGCTTGCCTTCCTTAAACAAAATAGCTAGTGTACGAAGATAACAGATTACTTAAAGGAAAAAAATAAACTGAGTTATATTTCTTATCAATGAAATGATATTTTTCAAATTTTGTTCGAAGAACAATCTTGAAATGGTTTAGTATCTTCAAGAAAAAAAAACAGCGAAAAGATACAGAAAGAATATTCATCTCATTTAAAATGGAGTTGAAAAATAATAGAAAATATTATGGAAATTATAGAAGTCTGATAGAAACATAATAAAATGAACTAAAGCGAAACATGTAACGTAAAATAGAATTAAATTAAAATAATTTGAAATTAAAGTAAATTAAAATTAAATAAAATTGTAAATGAAACGTAAAATTCTCTGATCTGAATTATATATAATTACATACCTCGTCGGACATCGGAATGCGATTTTCTTAAATAGATTTTATTCGAGAGCACTAAACAATTATTATCTACATTCTACAACAGGTATATCCTTCTTGTCTTCATTAAGACGCTACTTCATCCTTGCTTTCCTCCTCGGCGAAAGAGGGTGGCGTTTCAAGAAAAAAGGAAACCGCACGATATCTCTTATAAATAGCACAATAAATAATTTTCATTTTCCTTCCAATCCCATGTTTCTCTCTCGCTTCTTATCTCACATCGTTCACTCTCTCATATTCGTTCGCCCATCAAAGCGAACAAATCCTTATTGGCACATTGTATAGTAGACTCTTAAGTATATAAATAAGTCGTAAGTCGATGCGTCGTTTAGATTATTAAATATATATATATGTATGTATATATATATGTATATATAT